GTAAGTGTTTGTCCAATTTATTATTTGTAAAATACATTTATTATAAGAACCCTTTTGTTTTTTATTTAACATTTGTGGAATAACTTGCGCCGACCGTTTCCCCACGGCCAACCACTTATACGGAAAGAACGAGCACCGTGCTCCACTACCCGTATTATCAGTAATTTTTAAGAAAAATAAGTAACATGATCACAGCAAACAAACTGTCTTGCGCTGGCACCATCTGGTCGTCGGTAATAGTCATTAATTCCTGCCTGGCATTGGCTGTTCGCTCAATAGAAATATTGTTCTGAGTCAGAAGCTGCAACTCTAAGAATACATTATTAAGAAAAAAGAATTTCTTCTGAAATTTAATTTGTGTACTTTTGAAATGTGAATCAGAAAATGATACAAAACGCATATTGAACATTTCCATTTCGTTTTTGTTATAAATTATGGCAAAAACCCCGAAATTCGGGCCTATAGCTAGAATAGCGCCTGGAGCCATAAACGTTATTGAACTACAGAAGTCATGGAAATTAATTTTTATTAATATATAATTTATAAATATTTGCTGCTTTTTATTAGTAAAACAAAACTACAAACCTCTACATACAGAAAAATGTGTCATTATTGCATATTTTATTATACAAACAAAAGACTTAAGCGACGAACTTGTTGCTGATTTGTCAATATATACTTGGTTAGCCTATTTCACAATGTGCAAATATGCCATTTTGTTGCCTCAAATAAGCAAAGACAATTACCTGCATGTGCCAAAAGCTTCCTTGATTAAAAACGCAAAGAAGAAGAAAAAATCGTCTTGTTAACCCAATTTCTCAATAAGTCACGACGCGTGAAAACTAAACGCACTTGAGAAGAAATAACTAACCCAGCCAGTAAGAAATTTAAGTAATTCATTTCATTTATACAATTACACACTTAAACTAAACTATGCTTAGATATATGTACACATATGCAGGCATGTATGTATGTTTATATGGAAATTTGCGAGCAATTTTTGGCGCTTTGCTGTGAACTAAAAAAAAAACAAAAAAAAAAAAAAAACAAGCTAAAAGAGTGACAGTGAAGAGTGCGAGATTGCCGTTGACACAGAAATTACAGCAATAAATAAATAAATAAACGAAAAGTCAGCACGAAGATGCGTCGACAAGCGAAACTAGTACGAAGTGTCCGTGTGAAATAAAAGCAATAACAAATAGCATTCAACAACAAAGTAAAGTGCACTGCATAACAAAACCGATTGCATAATTTGGTGAGTGTGCAAGGGAGCTCAGCAAAAACTCGCGCTCACATGAGTGTATAGCTGCGCATGCGCCATTGTAGAGGTGTAAAAGTGTGTGTGTGCCCACGGAAACACCCGCAAGCTATAAAATGGCAAGTCAGCTGCACTTAGCGCGGGTTAATGCGGCAATTTATGGCGGTGCGAGCTCGTTTTCGCAGCAGAGCGGACAGTGAAAAAGGCCTATCGTCGCCCACACGCACACAACACACCAACATATGCACACACAGGTAATCCCACAATACTTTAATCGTCAATTTCAGCTGCTAAATTTTCGTTGCAGCAACAATTGTAGATCGGCATGCGTTGTTGCCCCAAATATGAATTGAAAAATTATGGCGATTTCGCCATTTGCCTAATTTTCGGCAATTTTCCAGCAGTCGGCATAAACTTGATTGCGTCTAAGTAATGACATAACACTTAGCCAAGTGATGGTTGCGTGTGAATCGCCAAAGTGCTAAGTGCCTCGCAATGCTTTTAGCCGATAATAAAGCGTGCGGCTGTCGCGCTATATTGGGCGCCACTTCTTGTGGTTAACACTTTTTTTTTTTGTTTTTTCATAACACTTGCGCTTGTGTTGGGCCCAAAATAGTAGCAGTGGCCTTCAAATGCCTAAAATTGTGCGACATATTGACATTAGGTATAACGGTATACGTACTCAAAGACATAAACTCTCTTGACACCGTCACCTGATCGAACGGGTGGGTGCGATGATTAATAATTGTTGACAAACTTGCGTTGAACTGCGTAAACTGGCGTAATCAAATTGCGGTTCTTTGACAGTTACTTGCATTGCATTAAGTACTGTTATTAAAAACAATTTTTCAATGTCATTTCCACTTATCAGGGCAACCAATATTGTGTGCTTCTGTTATTGTGAAATTATGTAGGTCAAAGCGTGGGTGCTAATTATTACTAGGTAAAAAATTCAAACTTTAGTTGGGTTGAATGTTTATTTTGCTTATACTATGATTAGCAGATTATTTGCTTGGCTGTTTGAGCAAAATTCGAAAACCCCCTTACCACTTGCGGCAGCACTTAAGCGCTCAATAGGCTTACGTTTAGGGACTCTTTTCATATTTTTGGTGGGCTTCTGAGTATTTTCTGGTTTTTATCTAAAGTAAGCACTTTTTTCTTAGCTACACAAAGTGCAATTTTTTATTTTAATGAAAACTATATATAAATAACTGTGCAAGATAATTACAGAATTTTTATAAATACTACTTACCCACTTTCCTAATTTTATGTAATCTGAAAATGGAAATAAGACATTATTATTAAGTAATATTCATAAAAAAGCGTTCAGCGCGCAACAAATACATTAACGAAGTAGATTAGGTATAAATGGTTATCTCTAGATTAGACAAAAAAAAATTGCTCATTTCGTTAAGATAAATTGTCAAATAAAAAGACTTTCCATACAAGTCATACCAGCCCAAAGTGGACAAATACAACAAATGCTCAACACCAAATACGCGCTCCTAATTATGCTACTAATTATCTGATAAATATTATAGTGAGTTAATTTCAAAATAAGTAGTAGACTGCTATACGATATGGACAAGGGCACTGAGAGCAACACTATCTTCAGTGGAGTACAGCAAGCATCGGTTTTAACCTCACTATTATGGAAACTGTATGGGGATGACCTCATAGTGTCTAAAATTCTGGATGACCAATCGGTTCAAACGCTTTGATTGCGTAAATGGTTTACACCGATGGGTTGCTTTCAGGTGTCTAGAGCTGGCTGAGCAAAAAAGTGAAGCCTTACTTAAAAGCTTCAGGAAAATTGAAGAAAATATATCGCTCACCATAGGAGAATCTGAGATAATACTAATGGACTCAAGTTCAAGGAACACTTAGAAAAGCAAATAAAATCTATAATGCGTGGAGGATGGAGTCATGTGTAGAAGTTCACGTAAGTGAGGAAAGTTTTCTGATCGCCATTCACGTGGGAGTGGCCAGAAACGATTCTTTTAC